TTATTTCATTATGATATGTTTTATGTCGTAGATAATTTTTATATAGTTTTTGTTTATCTTTGAAGATTTGATTAAACCTTTTGTCATCCACGGATTCAAAATAGACTAAGAATTTAAATTTTGTTCGATTAAAGGAAATGCTTTTCTAAAAAACGCGAGGAATAATTCACAAGCATTATTTGCATTTTGTGTTTCATACACTAAGTTCCAATCAACAGAATTTTTTAATAGATAGCGAAAATGTACAAGTTTTCATTGATTTTACGGACCAATATTTTTGATTTAATGGAGTTGTTTTTTAATGTTATGTTTTTAGTGGTTAGAAAGATAGGAAAATTATCACTTATGTCGGTTTTAATTATGCCTGTTCTTACTAATTATGCCTGTTCCATGTTTCCGATTTTTACTGGTTTGGGTTAGAAAATTTTTAATGTGAGCTTTGAAATTTTTTAAGTTTCCAGCTGGTTGTTTATAAATAGAGTTTACGAAAATGTTTTTATCCTTTTTATTTATTATTTCAAAGCATAACGACTCACAATCTGTTTGATTCACTCAAAGGTCACTTTTACGTAAGCTGTTTTTGCTAATTAGTTACTTTTACTCGTAAAAGTAATTTGGCTTTAAGATGTAGTTTTATTTTTACTTTGTAAAGTGAGTGTTATGTTTTTTATATTTATGTTTATATTATATTTACCTATGTTTACTTCTTAAGTAACTTTTTTTACATGTGAAAATTAAATTACATTTCGATATAAATTTCTTATATAATTATAAGCAAAACCTCTTTCGAAAGTAAATTACTTTACGCGACTTACCCTTTACAAGTAAAAGTAAAAATGTAATTAGTTACATTTGTAAGTAAAAGTAAATATACAAATTAATTTTACTTGTAAAAATAAATTACTTTTTCAAGTAACAGTTACTCATTTAAAAAAATTAACTTTAGTAATTAAATTTTACATGTTATATAATTTATGTAAAAAAAAAAAATGAATTACTTTTAAATATAAGTAAATTATATAATCTTATATGAGTTATGTAAAGTAATTTACGCTTAAAAGTAATTTGTGTTTTTACGCCATCCCCATTTACGTTATTGCTGTATTTGTTTAACTCAAAAATATGTATTTTTATAATAAACTAATTTTATAATTATAGATTTTACGAACTTAATCATGTAAATAAAGTTAACTATTTTACTATCAAAGGAGCAAGATGATAAGATGTATTGTCTTCTGCTTGCTCCTGTCAGAATTTAAAAATATATTTTATTTTATTTTTATTTTACAAGTACATTGTAAAATTTTCTTTTCTTTTTTGTTCATTGACGTAATATATTGATTGATTGATTGATTGATTGTTACTATATTGTATTTTTCATGTTAATAATAGTAATTTTTGTTATATAAATGATAATTATATGTTGTGTATCTATTTAGATTTTAATTATTTTTAGCATTGTTTCGGAAATATTGTACGTTTTTTCTAAATTATCTTTCTTATCCCCAGAAGGGATTTTACGGGTGATTGTTTGTGAGAGGGGGGTTACACGCCTCAAGGAGGGTGATATTCAAAGTATAGCTGGTTTTTTTACGAATTTATTCGGCCAGTTGGCTATTTGGCACAATTCAGTCGGTTATATATTTGTTTTAAGGACCTTATTATTTTTTTTTAAAAAGCTTGTCGGTACTTTTTGAGGATTCAACCCCCCCCCCCCCTTATTTTGTTTGTAGAATCGCCTCTGTGCCATTTAAAGTTGTTTAAATTAAACAAGTGCCATTTTGCAGCGGAAAAAACAAGTGCAACTTTTTTGGTTTGTTTCTTTTTTTTAAGTCCGCCTAGTGGGCACGGCAACATATGACGTCAGAAAAACGTCTTTTTAGGACGTTCAGAACTAGTTCTAATTGGCAACGCCAGATGACGTCTTTTTAGGACGTAATTGGATGTAGGAAGTAAAAGGATGTCTTTTTAGGACGGAATAAAGACGTGTTTTTCAGACGTCTAAAAGATGTGAATTTAGGATGTTCAGAACTAGTGCTAAATGGACACGCCAAATAATGTTTTTAAATAACCTAATTTAGCCGTCCTCAGTTCGACGTCTATAATACTTGTCTTTACATGGCTTTACTCAAACGTAAGATTAAAACTTATGTTTTCACTTAACTTTTTGAGAATAAGGAAAAAATTAAAATTTGCGTAAACTTTTTAATAATATATGTTTGTTAAGTTTTATAAATTATAATTTTTTTAAAACTTCTTCATCCACTTAATCCAGTTAATTTCCAAGAATTGACTGTTCGAACACTTGACGTCATTCACCTTCTTTTAGATCAGGTGTGGGCTTTAGATTATTGCCAACAGCATTTTAAAGTTCTTTTTTGCTGTAGGAATCAGGTAAACAGTCTTAAACCTAAAAAAAAAATGTAAAGATAAGTATGTTAAAATAATGGAGAAAGGAATAAAGAGAACATATTCAATACACTTTATGACGTAATATACATATATAAATATATATATATATATATATATATATATATATATATATATATATATATATATATATATATATATATATATATATATATATATATATATATACATATATACACACACACATAACATTCGATAATATTGTGTATGTATATTTACAAATCAAAATTTGTCATGTAATTTATGATAGTAATTTACCCTTATAAAGAAAACTAAACATTAAACCATAATAAAAAATATACCACTTTTTTTGCATCATTTTTATATTTTATAAAAATGATGCAAAAAAAGTGTATATATTTTATATATATAATATATATATATATATATATATATATATACATATTTCATATGTATATATATATATATATATATATATACATATACATATATATATATATATATATATATATATATATATATATATATATATATATATATATATATATATATATATATATATATATATATATATATATATATATATATATATATATATATATATATATATATATATATATATATATATATATTGTATATATATATATATATATATATATATATATATATATATATATATATATATATATATATATATATATATATATATTATATATGTTTATAAATAAATTTTTAATTAATAAAACAAAAATTTATAGAAAAGTAAATTAAGGAGAACAGTCAAATTTTAATTTTTTTAAAGATTATTTAAAGACTTTTAAGGATGTTTTTTTTTTCCAAGGTTTTTAAGGAGGATTGGGAAACCTGAATATATACGACAATAATCAAATGACTAGATATTGCAACTTTATCAGTAAACATTGTTGTAGTGGATTTTCAGTGGAACTATAAAGACATTCTAAGCAGTTAAATGGAGTTTAACTCATCCTTTACTTAGTAAATTACTAAAGTGGCCAGCCAATAGCATTCCAACAAGTGATATAGTGGTTACTCCTGTTATTCACTGGCTGGATCACTTAGCTGGATCACTTGGCTGCTGCCAATGGTCTATTATGTATATGATGACCAAAACTGCAACCAACCACAAAGCCTATATAGGCCCACTGAAATTCCTCTTTAAATGTTTTCTGTATTATATATACATATTTTTTACTAAATGTTAAAACTAAAAACCATAAATAATCAAAAATTCATATATATAGAAAGAAATATCATCTCTTTTCCATCTTTAAATTTTTTCTCATTCTAATTTGAAGTTGGATAAATTACTAAAAAATAAATTTTATCAAATAATAAATATAAGTATTGATTTTAATTATAATTATTTATTTGGAATTTTTAAAGAACGAAAAATAAAAAAACGAAATTAATTACATCTATCTTCAAAGGATTATTTATAACAGATTTTGGAATGTCTGGTGCAACTAATGCCTTTATTTTTTTGTGTGATTTTTTTTTTTTGTGGAAAAGATTCAAATGAGTTTAATTTGAAAAACTAAACCAGCCGTAACAGTTGATTTGTATAAGAGATAATTGTGTAAAAAATTTATTTATTAAACACAATTATTCCTTCATAAGTTTCATGAACAGAACACTTTTCACAAAAGTTGTAACCATTATAAGATTTTATATAGTTTTAATTTATATTTTTTATTGTATAGAAAATTATTTTGCATTATTGACTTGACTCAAAGAAAAAAATAGGTATTTAGTTAGTGAATTAGGCTTGGTTTCACTGCAATAAATGCCATCTATAAAATTATTAAAATAATCAAAGCAAGCTAATATTGGTAATAGCTGTTTACTAGAGAATTTAAATAAAGGTAAACCATCATAAAATTCAAAAAAAATATGTTTTTAATACTTGCCTGTATTTCAAAATAAGAGTAATTATTACCACACTTTTTAGGAACAGTGAATAACTGCTAATCTCGAAGATGCAGTGAAATTTTTAAAAACACCTATAGGTATAACTTAGTTATACCTCTAGGTGTTTTCAAAAAATATATAGGTGCGTGGGTAAAAATTTCAAACCATTTGTTTATGTAAGTATTATATATGGTACGAAAGAGTTTTGAATTTGTAATTCAATGGTGAAAATTTTATGAAAAAAGAATAATTACAAAAAAAGTTATGACCATTTAAGTAACATTATTTCTTATGAAGGATTACTTAAGAAAAATGCAACCATCGTATAAAACTCGCGTTCGGCTAACGGTAGCTTAGAAATTAAACTCCATTGTTAATTTGCGAATAGTTTTGCTTTAGTGAAATGTGCAAAACGATTTAATAACGTTATTAAAAAAATTTCGAATTAAAATAACAAAATATTTTTAATCCTTAAAACCTAATAATAAAATTTATATAAAGTTCCATATATGTATAAAAGAAAAAAAGAAATATCGCGTATTTACAATATTATATATATATATAGCGTAGGGGCCAAAGCACAAAAAAAAAAAAAAAATCATAATATACATAATAATAGTCAAAATATTTTTCAACTAAAAAAGGATACTACTAAACAATTAGGGGCGAGGGGGGGGGGGGAAAGGGAGGTCATGCCCACCACGGCTCCCCTTTTTCTTTCCTTCCGTGGGCCCATATACATATCTATCTATCTAACAATATATAAACTCCAACAAACTGCAAAAAATACAAATATTTTTTTCTAAACATACTTCTTTCACAATAAATTTACACTATAATAGTCATTTTATTTGCTTAGTAATGTTTTCAACAGAATTGTGGCTTTGAAAAAAGCCTAGTTTTTGAAGTAAATAAAACTGTGACATCCATAGAAAGAGTCAAATCTTTAGTACGCGATGGAAACCACATATAATGATATCTAAAATAAAATAAACCACTCAATTAATACAGCCATACCTATTTAATTAGGATACCCTATGTGTCCCGTATAATAAATAAATATATAACTGTTATCACAGAAAAATAAAAATACATTAGATATTTAGCACAATAACTGAAAAACACATTAACAAACATAATCAATCTCTAAATAAATATGATCTAACCGATTTAATATTGAAATGAAGAAGATTAACAAACATCAAAGCAAGCGGGTAGTACTCATCACGTTGTGTAACCTTGTAATTATAGATAAGATAAAATATATATAAGATATATAAAACTAAAAAAAAAATTAAAAATATTAGGACTTACAAGCAATTACTGTATAATAAATTAACATTTAATTGTTAATTACTGCAAAATAAATTAATATCTCACTATAATAACATCTTACTGAATTATTAAATATAATCTTGAGGACTTTAAGACAGTAGCAAATTGCAATCTTTTAGCATGCTATTAGTTAAAACCTTGCAATAACAGATAAATAAAAATACATTAGATATTTAACACAATAACTAAAAAACCCATTACAAAATAGAGAAGAGGAGAATAATTTCCTATATAAAAAACAAAAAACAAAATCACCTAACTCTTGATACACAACACATTTTACCATTACAAAACAGAAAAAACATTAAAAGTTGATCCTTCAATACTGTACAAAAAAGAAAAAGATACCTGTTTCAGATGTAAAGTCTTGAAACAAACCATTTCGCAGACATTCACATAATGTCAAGCCAGAACACAAAAACATTTTCAATATGGAATAATTATAGATCAAAGTACCACATGTGTGGAAAAGCATATGTATTCTGTTCCCTCTATAGCATGGTAGCAATCTTCTGGGCAACTCGTGTTGGTCCAAAAAGAACCCAAAATCCTTTGGATCACTTATGAATAACATAAAGAAAGTTAGTTGACTATTGCAAGGAGAATGTGAAATAAAAACATGCAATAACTATAATATTTATTTTAGTTTAACTCAATTAAAAACAATTTTATTCACAAACCTACACTATATTAAAGTAAAAGAATTATAAGTACCTTTTGCATACTTGTAGCAAAGTTTGTATTGCAGAATTGTATAGAAAATGAATTGTGTAGTGAATGAAACCAGGAACTTAACACACTAGCATGTCGTATATAAGTGTTCTAATATCTGCTGAGTAGTGTTTTTGAGTTTAGGTGTTTTGTGTTACTTGCTGAATTTCCTCCAACTCTTCCTGTAAAATCAGTATCAATGTCATTTTGCAGTACAAGAATTGCATAATTTTTGTCAGCAAGTTGTAGGCATAAAATTGCCTTTTGATAAGAAAACTTGGTTTCGTTAAATGGTTAACTGTTGTTTCAAACAAAAAATTTAAATCTCTTTCTCATAACCTTTTTCTGGGACTTAACTAGTCAGCTCTCTAACTGGATAGTGGTTCATGAGAAGAGGTTTCTATAGCAGGACTAGATAAAAGATGTAAGTGACCACTATTTGATACAGATAAAACACTGATTTGTTGAAAGGGAAATGAAGAACATATAGCAAAGTGAATTGAGGTTGGAATTGATTGCGATGTTTGTGCCATAGCAGATGTTATTATTTGGTATGCACAGAGCATGTTGCAGATGTCAATAATTGTTATGAATCTCGTGAAAAATGGTTTACAAACTTTTTTGATGTTTTTACTAGTTGAAGAATCTAATTAGTACAAACTTTGATGTTAAAATACTTATTGATTACTTCTATAGTTAATATGAATCCCTGTTAGTTGCCAATATATGCAGTAGGCGTCCATTGCTACAACCAATATTTGATGAGCTGGTAGTGTAAAATTACAATTTAACTAACTATTAGCTTTAACATCAAGTAGAAATGTTTTCTTTTTAGGTCCCACGATGCACTAAATTAAACAATCATAATACAACAATGCACTAAATTAAACAATCATAATACAACTATTTAATTGGGTTGGCTTTTAAACACAATTAACTCATTTAAAAAATCACTATTAACCTATAAAAAATGTCTAGATACATTTATTATTATTTGCATAGATAAAACATGTATATAATTTTTATGTATCATAGAGCTTAAGGTGGTTATATGGTAAATTCTGGGTATGGAAAAAAGCTGAGAAAATGCTGTTTTTGTTTTTAATATTTTTTTTTTTTTGCATTTTATGCTGAATCCCCATATAAAAGTGTCATTTAATTTTTATTTCACCATATTAAATTATCTTTAGCTGAACTTTGCCATCAAGACAAAGTTCTGCTAAAGATAATTTAAATTACTTACTCTTTTCACACACCAAAATTAGTTTCAAGGCAGCCTTGAAACTGATTTAGGTGTGTGAAAAGAGTAAGCAATAAAAAATATATACAATAACACAATAAATGATTATACAATTATTTAAAAAAATCAATAGTATTCTTAGTAATAAAAGACTATTTTTAAAAAGTAAAACTTTTTAATGAAAGTTCTTATAAAATATTTCATTATTATGAATAGAAAAACAAGTAAACTGAATGCTCACTGGCGATTTACACCGGCGAATCGCCCCCCCCCCCCCCCCCCGCCTTAAATTATGTAACGGAAGTGGAAATACATACCTCCACTGCACGATAAAATAGGGTGTCTGGGCATAAATATTTTTTAATGAAATTTGGCAGGCACATAGAAAATAGATTTATACTGTTGACTGGAAAATTTTAAAAGTGTAGCAACATGCCTTCAATATTAAATCATCTCCAGAACAGAAACGAAATTTCAAAACTTTATAAAAATCACTGATAAATGTAAAAAAAAAACAACGGAATTTATTTCGAGAAGTAACAGTAACAGTAATAGAAACAGTTTAATAAAGTGTAACAGTAACAGTAATTGTAAAAAAGGTGGAAAATGTACCTCCACTCGGTGAAAAAATAGGGTATTTGGGCATAAATTTTTTTAAATGAAATTTGGCAGGCACATAGAAAATAGATTTATACTGTTGACTGGAAAATTTTAAAAGTGTAGCAACATGCCTTCAATATCAATGCACTTCCAGAACACGAACAAAGTTTTAAATAGCAATAAAATCACTAAAAAACTTAATACTTGAAAAAAAAAACATAAGTTATTTAACATAAAACATTCTACTTTTTTAAAAAAGTCTAAGCTGATATAAAATTCTAAAAAAAAAGACAAATAAATACATCCTTACCACACCGACTTTGAGCACGCTGTGAAAAAAAAGATCACAGTTTTTAACTTATAAATCGGTGCCGTAAAGAGCCAGATACGCACGTACCTACTTTAATATTAAACTTTGAGAAACTGATAATTATCAGATGAGATTGATGATCAGATGAAGATGAAAAATATGATGATGAGGATGACATACCAAGTAAGTTGTTTATAGTTCATTTTATATCATTAATGATTCAGTCAAGAACACTATATATATAAATATATATATATATATATATATATATATATATATATATATATATATATATATATATATATATATATATATATATATATATATATATATATATATATATATATATATATATATATATATATATATATATATATATAAGAAGATATAAATCCTAATCTGATTTATTTCGTTAATATCATTTTTTTATTTTAAATTAAAGTTTAATATAAAATATGCAAATATAGTAATAATAAAATTATAATATGGCCAAATATAGTAATAATAAAATTATAATATGGTTAACATCAAAGTTTTTTATGTTTGCATGTATGTCCGTTAAACAAAAATTTTTTGTTTCGTACATAAACTTAAATGCTCTCAAAACGACTAAAAAACCTAGCCAGTTTTTCGCAACTAAATATAATTTCCGTGGTCAGTGATCGCTCCCGCTTCCCGACCAAGCCAGAGAAGACATTTTTCTATTATTTAAAGAGATTTGGTCACGAGAAACAATTTTTTGAAAGAAAAAATAACCAGAATTAAGGAGAAAATAACTACATTGAATACAGAATCTTATTTTTTTCAATAAATTTTAAATAAAAACAGAAAAATTATTATAAATTAACATAATACAATCCTGCAAGCGTGTGTTTGCTTACTATAAAGTTTTTTTAATTCACCATAGTAAGCACTACCCCATACGATATTACAGTAAGAAATAGCACTATGAATAAATGAAAAGTATATATTTTTTAAAGAAGCAGTGTTAAGAAATGGTTTAGTTTTATATAATATGGAAATATTTTTTGAGATTTTATTTTCTATAGATTTTATATGAGGCTTCCATGACAAATCTTTAAATATATTAACGATTGGTTCCCTTATAATAAATATTTTATTGATTAGGAGATTGGGTAATTTTAAAAGAACATTGTAACTTTGACAAGGTTTGGAAAATAAAGCAAATTTAGTTTTTTCTACATTTAACGAAAGTCTATTACTCGTAAACCACTCATTTATTTTTAATAGTTCTTCATTAAATATATTAAACGGAACTTTTATGTCTTTGTTAAAAAAAGATTGGAGTTGTCTGCAAACAATATAACATTTAAAATATTTGATGCTAAGTATAAATTATTTTTATATAATAAAAAAAATTGTGGTCTTTAAGATTGAACCTTGGGGCACACCACATGTAATGTATTTTTCTTTTTCATTTTTTAAGTAAATAATATATTGTGACCTGTTTGCCGGGTAATCTTCAAACCAAAGTAAGTTTTTATTTTTTACTCAATAGAGTTCTAGTTTTTTTATAACTATCTTATATAGTTACAGTGTCAAAGGCCTTCGACAGATAAATAAAAACTCCTAAAGTAAAATAGTCGTTATTGAATGCATCTGATACATGGTTAATCAGTTCGATTACCGCAAAAAATTTGGATTTGATTTTTTATTTGTTGCTTTCTATGTTTTAACTGTTTTTGTTGTTTATTTACAACTATAATTATTTTTTATTTCTTAAAGTTTCACAGAGTAATAATCAATGCGTACATAAACTTACTAATATAGTGGCAGTTGCAGTGTGGTTGTCGACAAAAATAGACATCGGGGAAGTGGAGTGTACGTATATTCTTTTTTGCACTCCTATAGTTCAAAATGAAATTGTATAAATTAACAGTGACTAAACGGACAAATGACCTCGGAAGATTTATTTAATTTACGATAAACATTTTATTTAAATGTTTAGTATTAAGTTAGTGTTTGTAGTATTAAATTAAATATTTAACGCCAGTGAAAAATTCTTGTATTATTTTATTTGATAATATATTATTGACTCATAAAACTGTAGACACAGCAGAGTCTACATTAATCGACTTAAGTCAAATAATGAAAAATTAACTCCAACGAAAGTAAGTCAATTTAAAAAGTCAATTCCAATTTGTGTTGAATAAAATAAAAATAAAAAAATTACACAATCAATGTAATACACTTCAAATACAAAATATAAAATCAAATGTAGTACATGTAGTTATAAAATAATAAAATAATCACTACAAAAAATAAATCAGTTAATAAATCAATCAGTCATGTAAATGTTTCAAATACAAAAAAAAAAGTAATACAATTACTTCAAATTTAAAAGCGTTAAAAAATCAAGCTACCCAGTGTGCATTTGTTTTTAAAAGTTACGTTCTAAATGTATTTTAAATTTCCTTTAAACGTCTTCTAAACATTCTTACGTTAAGAACGTTCAAAAGACGTTTAAAAATCGTTTAAAAGACATTTAGAACGTAACTTTAAAAAACAAATGCCCATAGGGTACAATTATTAGCTTTGTTAATGATAAACAAAATTCTTTCTAGCTTCATTGTATTCTGAGCTTCTGAAGTTTTTTATCATCATCGAAAGTTCTTTTTTACGGTGATGTTCTAACTCATCAAAAATCTGTTGATAGGTTTTTTCCTTAACAAACCTGGAGTTTATTGATAAAGATTCTTTATAAACAAAATCTCGAAACTCCTCCACTGTGTTTCCTTCCACTTTATCAAACATTCCAATATCTAATGCTGTTGAAGAAAGTATTGGCATAGTTGAGTCCAAGAGTTCTTGAGATTTCCTTAATCCAACTCGCTTTTTTAAAAAATATGTATGATATTCGGATCCAAACAACTTCATAGACTTGTAATGTGGGTTCAAAACAACTCCTTTTCGGCACCAAACGTAGTCACTTGCCAAAGACATCATGCAACCGCCTGCCCCAGCGTTTCCTTGTAATGCCGAGATAGTTGTTTTAGACATTTGAAAAATCTGTTTCACAACATCGTTAATAGCATTAATATTTTCCCAAGATTCGTTGAATGAGTCTTCTGCATGATCAATAACATTTAAATGAATTCCATTACTAAAACAATTGTACCCTCCCATTAAAACAACCGTTTTTATTAAACGATTGCTATCAACTAACTTCAAAACACTCTCAAGCTGTTTACATTGAGAAACATTCATTGCGCCATTGTAGAAGTTGAAGTGAATAAAACAAACGCCATCAACCACATTTGTCCAAATTTCTTGAAAGGTTTGTGGCTCTTCTCCGACTGAATAATTGAGCTTAAGAGTTGGAATGTATCCGATTGAATTTTTTGCTTGTTGAAGCCAATATATAGCCGGTAACTTCAGTTTATTGTTTTTTAAATGAGACAACCAAATGTAACCATTTTTGCATTTTACTAAAATAGCTCCGTTTCTTTGCCCAACAATATCCCCAGGGGCATTTTTATCAAAGCTAAACAATTGCTCTTTTTCAATAACAGAACCAAAGACACGGAATTTGCTGCTATAGTTACAACTTGGTACAGATAAAACAGCAATTGCACCAGGTTGAGAATCAGACATGCGAATTATGCTTGATATTTCTTCTGCAGAACATTTCCAATCTATCTCTCGGTCTTGATTATTCATATTCCTTTTGAGAACACCTTTTGTGTTTGGGTCAGAATAATCCAATGGTTTTGAAGGAACCTGATCAATAAAGTTGCTAACGGCTTGTAATACTGATACCACGCTAGCATTAGTAATTTCGTTACTATACAAACTCGATTTTGTTAGTGAATTCATGTTATTTCGATTAATTGAAAAATTGGTTGTTGACCATATATTTCCTGCATCCATATTTTCTGCAGCCTGCAAAACTGTTACACCCCATTGCAGTTTATTTTCCTTTATAGCCCAGTCTAGTGAGTTCATTCCTCGATCTCCTTGGATTCCAGGATGAACAATTAAACATGGTTTTGTTTTAGACCAAACCTCTCTTGGTACGCATTTTGTTAAAAATGGACAAATAATAAGGTCGTGGTTGTAATCTTTTGAATATTTTAGCATATCGTCTTCTTTATTTATTTCAAATACTTTTAATCGATGACCGTGTTTCTCCAACTCTAAAAAGATTCTTTGACTTAGACCATTAAACTTGTTTAGAAAAAGTAAAACGTCCAGGCTTCTCGAACCTAAAAATTATGTACAATATTGATTAAAAAAGTAGTCAAAAGTTAATTAGATTTTATATATTTGGTTATATATATATATATATATATATATATATATATATATATATATATATATATATATATACTTATATATATATATATATATATATATATATATATATATATATATATATATATATATATACATGTATATATATATATATATATATATATATATATATATATATATATATATATACATACATATATATATATATATATATATATATATATATATATATATATATATATATATATATATATATATATATATATATATGTATATATATATGTATATATATATATATATATATATATATATATATATATATATATATATATATATATGTGTATATATATATATATATATATATATATATATATATAAATATATGTATATATATATATATATATATATATATATATATATATATATATATATATATATATATATATATATATATATATATATATATATATATATGTAGGGGTGTTCACATAAACACTGGAAAAAATATTTTTATTTGATCTGAATGCACACTAGTTTATTTTGTGCCGATTGGCATTAAAATTTACTGTGTAAAAAATAATTAAAATAAATTAATGTTTTGAGGTTGCTTAATGGACTTTTAGTTTTACAATAATAGCATTACGCCTAAATAATTTTCTTATTTTATCCCATGTTCAATTTAAATAAAATATTAAACAAATTTGATGTACCATTGTCTTTTATAAGCTAACTTCTTTGGTCATGTGACAAGCAGCCATCTTGTCATCTGATGTTTTTTGATTGAAAAACATTTTCATTAATTGTAATTTTTTGCTATAAAACTGAAATATTTAAAGATTTTGAGGTTCTTATATATTTAATTCCTATAAAAAAATAATTATAGCTGTTATGCCAATATTTTGTTTTTTAGTGCTAAATAAATATCAAGATATTGACACGTAATTGAATTGCAATATGGTTGATTGTTCAACCTGAGAAGAAACTACCAAACAATGTCCTTCAAACGATGGTTGATGTGTTAAAGACGTTTTTCCACTATCACAAAGCATTGAAACAAACAGTTCCATCCACTGCAAAAGCAACATCTAATGGTTTAGCTCACATCTGGATAATAATATGAGACTTACCAGCTTCATATTGTATCAAAAGTCAAAGCATGTGTTGATGAATATAATTTAATTTAAAAAAATAAAGGAAGACCTAGTAAGTCACAGATTGCTAGAGAAAAAGATTTTAGTATAAAACTAGATTTACCGTTCGACATTTCACACAAGGATGCAAACAAGCTAATAAAAATTGATGAAGATAAAATATTTCTGGAAGACCAAAAGAATGCTCGTATGATGAAGATGGCTGGAGAAGATGTAAAATTATTTCAACAAGAAAAGCGAACAACAGAGCGTCAACAAGTAGAAATAAAAAGAAAGCAAAATGAGGAAGAGAGAAGATAACAAGCAAATACTGTCCTTACTCCTAGCTATAGCCAATTTAGTCTTGATTGTGATAGTGATACCAAAGCAACAGAAGTCAGTGACATTCCTAATGACAATGATGATTATGAAATAGAAACACAAAAAAACTAGTAACCTAGTCAACTGACTGTGAACAAAGTCCTAAAAATAAAAAGCCACATATTCTCAATGAAATTTTGTCTTCTCCAGATGTATCATCCACACATGATAGAATCAATTTATCTGACCAAAAATTCACTATATTGGCAGCTGCAATTGTTAGAGCAAGTGAAAAAGACATCTAAAGTACACCATTATTAAGATCAACAGTCTGCCGCAAACGTATCATGCACCGTTCATCAACTAAAAATCATATTCGGCAGAAATTTTTGTCAAGTGAGATACAACATATGGTCGTCCACTGGGATGGTAAGATGATGAGAGACAGAACAAACTAAGAAAATCCAAAATACAATGTTGATAGAAATGCTGTTGATGTGACTGGTCGTAATCTGGAGAAAATACTGTTTATTGTAAAGATATCATCTGGCACTGGACTGGCACAGGCAAAAGCAACCTTCCAGTTACTGACCATATGGAATGTTGCAAATTATATTGTTGGTATGTGTTTTGACACAACAGTGAAAAACACGGGTTCCAAAAAAGCGGCGAGCATCTTGCTAGAGAAGTTGATGGAGAAAAATCTTCTTTACTTTGCTTGCCGTCACCATATGCAAAAAGTAATTATTGGGAAAATATACTCAGTTTTGCTAGGACCCAGCAGTGGGCCCAACATAGCTCTATTTGAACGATTTCAGAAGTGTTGGTCAAGCATAAATCAAGCCAATTATGTTCCATTAGATGACGCCCATCTTGCTGAATCACAGCTTCAGCAACTTAGATCAGAGGCTGGCTCCTTTCTGCAGCCTTTGTTATCAGATGACTCATCGCACTTACTAAGAGAAGATTACAAAGAGATAATCGAGCTGTGCTTTTTAGTTTTGGGTTTTTCGTTATCAGACTATGCCACTAAGAAGTATCGTTTTCGCATGCCAGGAGCTTATCACATGGCTAGATAAATGGTTAAAGTTATCTATTGTATGAAGATATACCACTTAAGAAATGAATTCAAGCTGACTATAAAAGAACAGAACAACTTGTGCGAATTTTGCATCGTTGCTGCTCATATCTATGTACCAGCATGGATTGCTTGTCCAATTGCAAGTGATGCTCCAGCAAATGACCTGATGCTCTTCACAAGAATTAAACAATATTATGAGATTAACAAGGTCATTTCAAATGCTGCTATAAAGAAGCTTCAAAATCCCACTTTGTACCTTGGGTCAGAAATGATTCCACTTTTATTATTTTCTGACAGGGTTTGTGACACAAAAAAAAAGTTGATTGTTGAAGCTATAATTCAAAGTGGAGCTGATTAGAGTATCAGGGGTATAAAGTGTCCAGCAGCAGAATTAAACAAGTTGTAAAAGAAGCAACTTCATGAGCTTGTTACATCATTATCAACTGCTGTTTTGCTGTCACTTGATCTTGATGTAACCATTTTATCTGAAACCGATCCTAATACCTTGGAGGAAATTGCTGAATTTCGTTATACTAAAGCAATTGTTAAATCTGTGAAAGTTATCAATGACACTGCTGAGCGTTCTGTTGCTCTTATGAGCACAATTAATCAACCCATCAGAAAAACTGAATCTGAAATGCAGAAACTAATACAAGTTGTTGAGGAAAACGCACTCTTGATTGCCGCAAAAGCATCTTGATGGCATATGCCACTGTTGCTACAGACAAAACTTTTGATCTTGTAAATAGTGCAACATTTGAATGTTATTTGCATTATTTAAGGAATATTTTGAAAATGATTAGTTGTTTATCATAGCTATAACTCAAGATTTTTAAATATTGTTGTTGCGGCGCATTCTTTTAATACAGTAAATTTTTTTTTTTCTTTGAGCAACCTCTAAAT